ATAGCTTTCTCAAAGAGGAGAGTAACAAAACAAGGGTAGACCACTCTTGATTATTCATGACAACTAGGTTGAGTCATAAGTAATTCACGCATCTGAGAAACAATTGCAATGATGGTTGTATCATCTTCTCTTAACTATATCATAACAGGTGATAAAATGCAGGTCGCATATGACAACGCAAAATGCATTGGATTGACATTGATTGAGCTGCGTGGAAGAAATTTAATATTGTGTGTGGGGGAGGATCATGAGGGTAGTTCCTTTGGAGAACTTGAAACACAATGAAACACTAAATGTATATTTATACTTTCATATATCCAGTAACTGAAAGCTCTCCATAAACGTTTTATGGAAAAGCTCTTTGCGCTTATCAAAAGGAAAAATGCTATTATACATAAAAGCATACAGCAAGGACAACACAGGAAAATAGTTTGGAACTCGGTTGGTCTGTACTACCCGATCCGCCATATTCATCTGACCTTGCACAAGTCGATTATTACATTTTCTGATAGCTACATAACGCTTCGACGAGGAAAACTTTTTCTAATGAAAACCAGATTCAAGAGTTCGTCGAAGACCTTTTCACATCAAAATCTGCGACATTTTCCTAGAAATATATCAAAGAGCTGCCTGATAGGTTGCAACGAGTCATTAAAAATAATGGAGAATATATGGGTGGATGGATAACCACTACCAAGGTGGCTAGCTAATCCCTGCTGGAGATGCCTGCTCTGGCACATTTGTGTTTGTTCAATATACACAGAACCCACCTGTGGTTTATACTGCAGCTATGCGGACCGCGTTATCCAGCGTGATCAACAGTCGGAAGAAGGCCAGCACGCTCAAACCCTCAGTGACAATGACTTGTTAATTCGTGCTAGCACTGCCATCGATGGCCCCTAAGAGTTCCGTCTACCCAATTTCACTCACAAGGCTTGGGAACTCGGTTGGTCTGTATTACCCGATCCGCCATATTCACCTAGTGATATGATTTTTAGGCACTTTCCAAAGGTGCCGCATGCTGGGACAAAATCCTGACAAAATCGACTATGGTCAGGTTCGAACCCGGATCATATGGTGAATATATAATTGAATAAAATATATTTGTACATTCTAGAATTGATAAACGGAAATTATTTATGACCCAAACTCAATCATCAGCAGCCTTCTTACAATAAATGGGTTGTCCTATTTGCTTTCAGTGACATCTCCAATATACCGTGTCTCTTCAGGGCGTGGTCAATAATTGACCTTCCCTGCTTCTTATCTTTTATAACCCTTAGCAACGGTTGTATTTTTATTATACTTCCTCCTCTCTGTTGAGCCATCCATCCGTCAGGTCGCTTACTCGATGTTTTTCTTTGTCCCTCTTGCCATTAATACGTCCTGTGAGTGTCAAATTTTTCTTATCCTTCTTTTCACATTACATGTCGCATAGATTAAGGCTATCTTTTCTTGATTTTATGTATAATTGCTCTTAGCATTTTCTTTAAAACTGCCTCGTAGTTTACACGCCCAATTCAATGGTATTCCCAGCATCCTTCTGTAGAACCATATCTCGTCATCTATGAGGAAATTGGCCAGCATTTGTTAGCATATAGGAGGACCGATATTATACAGCGGTTCAGCGCTCTTTTCTTTGTTTCTAATGAAATTTTCCTGTTTCTTAATACTTTACTTAGATTTTGGAAGCCATCTTTTGCCATACCAGTGTATCTTCAAATATCGATGTCACGCTTTCTATTCTCTGTTAAAACACTTACCAGATACTTAAATGTTCGACTTGCTTAATATTGATGTCACCGGTTCGTATCCTGGATTCTCCCCCCCTCGTGAAGTCCAGGCATAAAGTCTTCTTACAATTGACAATTAGTCCTTTCTTCCTCCTTTCCTTTACTACCTTTGTTGGGAGTTTACCTAATCAAATATTTCTTTGAGGTTTTCTTCGGCATCTTTCATCAACACAATGTCATCTGCATTGTTATATGGCCGCGTGGTTAGAACACTCACTTTCTGTGCATAAGACCGGGGTTCGAATCCCACCTTGGTCGATTTGTCAAGAAGCTGACTTTTATCGTCATCCTGTAGACAAGGTTGATCCTAGCGGGCCTGAAACGCATATTACGGATTGACCCAAGCATTGTAATAGGAAATTGGATAGACGGGATTATTTGGTAGTGAGTGTTGAGCTAGCATGATGCTACAAGTCATCGTGACCGAGGTTTTGTTCAGACTGTTCATCACACCCGATGATGTAAGGCCCGCTTCATATAAACCACGGATTGGCTCTGTGGGTGTTGAACAAACACAAACTTGTCTGAGCAGGTGTCTACAATAACCTCTCGTGTGGCGATTCTGAGAAACTATAAGCCCTACCAGGATTCCTTATTAGCAGACACAATCATAACAACATAACATATGCAGATGATGCAGTAGACGTATAGCAGACATAGAAAGCAAACAAGAACTCCTACAGAAGATATTGAAGGAAAGCGAGAAGAAAGGACTAAGCATCAATTGTAAGAAAACGGAAAACGTGTTTTTCGACAAAAGGAACGACTCAACATGCAAATTAATAATTGGATATACCAAAAATGTTGTAGCATACCTACGGACGATAATGGGTATGACCTCATTCACATAGATACGGTAGTAAATACTGTATGTTGGTCTGCATCTGGAGATGTATTGTGGAATTCACTTGACTCACTTCTACCAGTAGACTACTTCTACGCGCCGCTGGCGTATCTTGTATGTGTTGTTCTTGTCCTAAGTATTATCGTTCATTACCAACCTTCGTTTGATTATTCTATTCAGTAACCTTCCCTAGTTTGCAACAATTTAAATATCTGTGAAGTTTTTTTTAACAAAAGACAGAAATTGCAACACCGAAATCCGAAGACTCAATGAGATAGCAAAAGATGCCTTCCAAAAGGTAAGCAAAGTATTAAGAAACATGAAAATTTCATTAGAAACAAAAAAAGAGGGCTGAACTGTTATGCAATATCAGTCCTTCATTATTGCAGAAATTTCTAGACAATCTCCTCACTGATGAAGAAAAGAACAAAGCAGCAGAAATGTCGTTCTACAGAAGGATACTGAGAATATCATGGACTGAACATGTGAGCAACGATGAAGTTTTAGAGAAAATGAAAACAAAAAGGACACTTATAGTTAATATCAAGAAGAGACAATTATCATTTCTTGGTCACATAATGAGGAAAGAGGGCTTGGAAAATTTGATACTCACAGGATATATTGAAGGCAAGAGGAAAGCATTGCATAACCTACCTAGCAAGTTTGAGTAAATGGATGGAAGAGAAAGGTTTAGAAGAGATAGCAAAAAGACAAAATTTATTAAGAGCTACAAAGAACAGAAAATTTTGGAGAGCCATGATCGCCAACGATCCGAAGGGGCATGGCACAAATAATAATAATAATAATAATAATAATGTCTTTTCATGAGCAGTTCAATCGTTCTGACAATTATGTTTTCTAGAGTTGAGAAATATATATAATCTCATATGGCGGACCCCTTTATAATTTTGTTATAAAATAAAAATAATCCCTTTATATAATTTATAATTCACTTTAAATGCATTGTTTCTAAAGTAAATATTGAAGCTCTATTCAAACAACTTGTGCGATATTTGAAAGCGCGCAGCTATTAAATTCTGAATTGATTTTAGCATTAATATCCCAAGTTACATGCAGTTATTCTCAAACTAGCCACCAGCATTTAATACAAGCCTGGTCTGAAACCGGATCAGTCCGCCATTTTCTATGTGTAGCCACCATTACGTTAGCAGCCGACACACGCATTCACCTAACAACCTTCTTACCTATATAAATACGCAAGTATGTAAGTTCTTCATAAGCAAATGTCTAAATTCAGTTGATATCTGCGTTTATCTATTTTGATCTGAATTTGGATAATTACAAATTTCAATCTCATGAATCAAGGCTTATTTATCTTTTTTATGTTCGTAATATTACACCCTTTGAGAGTGTTTCCATTCACACAAACTTGCGAAGATTTTCACAAACAGGAATACACTTACAAACAGGAAATTAATTTTAATTGCTTTTTATTCCTTCTTTGTCGGGATATATATATATATATATATATATATATATATATATATATATATGTTCTATATATATATATATATATATATATATATATATACAGGGTGTTCGAAAAGTCTTGGGAACATTTTGACATTGAATATCTTGAAAACATGCCTGACATATTCTGAAAGAATTTAATCTCAAGTTTTACATGGAATGTTCAAATATGTTCAATGTGAGCACCATTGGTCACATGGCACACATCAAATCCGTCATCTTCCAACTTCTCTTGCATTGCAATGCAAAAGACACGACGGGCTGGTTTATCAGTGTCCTGCAGCTGTTGGGTTAACTGTATCTTGTAAGGTGTTATGTGCAGTCGTCATTTTATGACATGCCAATCAGTTGTTGTAGAAAGCTAAAGTTCCTTACTTTTGGTCGATTTATGGTGGCTTCGCTTGAAGGCAGTCCAAACTCGCTCAACCGTACCATCTGAAGTTGAGGGGCGTCCCCTTCTCTTAGCTGGGCACAAACACCCATCCATCATGAATTTACCATGCCATCTCAAAATGGATTTCCTTTCTGGTGCCTATTTTCGGAATTTTGTGCGAAATGCACGTTGAACAAGTGTCCATAATTCAGTTTTTGCAAATTCAAGGATTCAAAACGCCTTTTCTGGTTGAGTGAACGCCATTACTGGATCAGAAAAAAATGAAAAAAATCTTTAGCATTACAAAAAACCTAATGAATTTAGTTTTAAAATGGTACTAGTTACATATTACTACCATTCATAGTTCAGCATATATGAGGACTTGTAATGTTCCCAAGACTTCTGGAAAACCCTGTATATATATATATATATATATATATATATATATAGGTTATCATTAAAATATGCTTATGTGAAATATGCTTTAATATACTCGGAAATGATTTTTCCCACAATGCGTTTCTCTTGCGTATGACAGACGCTTTCAGGTCGGAAAAAAGTCAAACCTGTTCCGTAAAATGAATAAGAAAAGTTCTTTTAATATTTTAGGAAGGATAAATAAATATTTCCTGGTTTCGCCAGGTGTAACCGTCACGCCTAGGACCCGGCATGACATACACAATCCTTCCGGATTCCATCGGCGAGGAGAAGTTCCACTCGAACAGCGTCTTCCGGCGAACCACTGCTCTGTGGAACCGACTCCCAAGATGATGTTTCCCCGATCCCTATAATCTTAACCTGTTCAAGTCTCGGGTTAATCGTTATCTTCACCTCATATCGATACAGGCTGCGATGGATAAATTGTCGTCTAAATGACGCACAAATGAAAATAACACTGACATCTCGTTGTAACAGTTGTACAGGGTGCGATGGTTGAATTGGCGTCTAAATGACACCAAAATGAAAACAACATTGACATCTCATTTTGACAGATATACAGGGTGCGATGGATAAATTGTCGTGTAAATGACGCAAAAAATGAAAACAACGATGACATCTCATTTTAACGGATATATAGAGCGCGATGTATAAATTGTCGTCTGAATGACGCCAAAATGAAAACAACAATGACATCTCATTTTAACCGATATACAGGGTGCGATGGTTGAATTGGCGTCTAAATAATATATTTACAAATACTACAGAAAAAATGTCATGAAATACTAAAGAATAAATCTCCTGCAACTCTTCTGGGCAGTCTCCGTGTTTAATATAATCCTTGTCATCAGTTCATCTTTGGTGTTACAAGGTGAAATAAGCATATTTCTGCTTATTAGATTATATGCAGTTAAAGTTGAGTACTTCGTCATCATATCAACAATTTATGAGTCATTTAATGCAAAAAATTTAATTTCCTTGAGAACTTTGATGTAATAAAAAAAAGCATTTGGTACAAGTCCCCATTTATCCAATTGGTCAGTACTAAGTTAGGCCAGAAGTTTAAAAAATTTCCCTAAAAGTAATCGTCTTAGTAAAATAATTAACAGAAATAGACTAAAATTAAATTATAACTGCACCGATAATCTAGAGAATATTACAAAGAAACACAATAATAAATTTTTCAAACCAATTTAAAAATTTGGATAACAATGCACATTCCAAGATAAATGTTAACCAATGTAACTGCAAGAATTCCAACGAATCCCCATTACGTAACCAATGTTTAATCAACTCTCTTGTTTATCTAAGTACTATTTCTACAATGGAGAAGCCAACTGTTGAAAAATTTTATATTGGTAGTACTAAGAATTCTTTTAAGACTAGGTGGCATCACTATATCTCATCCTTCATTATTAGTACTTATAAAAATAGTACACCTTTTTCTAAATATTTTTGGATTTTAAAAGAAGCTAATAAAACTTCTATGGTAAAATGAAAAATCATTAAAAAAAAAGCTAGAAAATGTAAATCTTTAAATGAACCTTGTTTTCTATGCTTACATAAAAAATTAGAAATTATCAGATTTTCTGGTTAAAAAACTCCTTAATAACCAAAGAATTGAATTAACTGTAAATTCTATGCCTAGTTTACTTTTTTACCTTAAAATATGATCAATTATTTTAAGACATTTTTAAAAAGAATATATAAACATAAAAATGTCTTAATATATATATATATATATATATATATATATATAATAATAATAATAAAACGAAAGAATATTAATCTACAACCCAGTGTGTCTAATGATTTTAATTTTTAATTTTCTTATTGTTCAATATATATATATATATATATATATATATATATATATATATATATATATATATATACCAGGTGTAACAGCGAAATTGTCCAAATCGTGTAAAAGCAAAACTGTCCATTTGTTAGGTTAAGCTCTGAACCGTTGTATCTTAGAAATGATTAAAAATACCTTACTGGAATCCTCCGAGGTTTTATAACACTATTAAACACTAAGAATAAGAATGTATAATTACTCTCCAAGCTTAACAGGAGAATCGTAATGAAATCGATCATAAACGAAAATGACACATTCATCATTAATTAATCATAGCTAAGGATCAGAAGCTCATAAATGATTGCAATTAAGTTCAAATATATATTTTTTCCAGGATCATTAAGATGATCTTCGCCCTTTCTTAACTTCTAATTTTTTGTCCTGGAGTAACAAGTTGCCTCACAGATTTCACATACGATTTCATTTTCAAATCTTGTTTCACTGCTCTTTGGACTGTCATAGTTGAAACTCCTCTCTCACATGCCAAATGTCTTATGGATTGATTTGAATCATTTCTAATTGATCTCTTTAGCTCTAAGTTGAAATGATGATCCTTATTCCTGTTGTGATCCCCTGATCTAGTTTTCCTTTAGACTGTCCGCTCTTTTTTAAATTTATTCACCGTTCTCTTGATGGTTCTTGAATGAACTTTGAAAATGGAAACCAGAGTATGAATGTTGGTACCATTAATGAAGGCCTGAATGGTATTTTCCTCTCACCATTGCTCAGTTGTGAAGACATAGTGGGGCTGACACAAAATGATTTTAACCCGTTCACTTTCCAGCTGAATAAGTATTTTTCGGTGATTCTTACGATAAATGGTGTCATGATGGCTAAAAATCTTATCTGAAAACCGGGAAAAAGGAACTCAATTAGTTTAGTGGTTTTTAAGTATTCAAAATTTTGTGGGATGGACAATTATGCTGTTACATGATTTGGACAATTTTGCTGTTCCACCCGGTATATATATATATATATATATATATATATATATATATATATATATAGATAGATATAGATATAGATATAGATATATATATATATAGAGAGAGAGAGGGGGGAGAGAGAGAGAGAACACCGACGTCCCTTCAACCGACTCGGCTACGAAAGACTTCGGCGATCAAGCAAGGTCGAATGGTATCTTTAAACACAGTCCGTCCAGTCCCATCATCTCGATAAATCACATCTGTTCATTTTTGTATCAGAACGTAAACAATGCAGTTTCTAAAGAAGTAATGAATTTGTTTTACTTATTATTCCGACATATTTTTTTATTATTTTAACGATATTTTAGTGGATACCCACAGCGGCGCCGTTTATTTGAAACAGTACATTTATTTTCGTGTGCCGGTCTGAATAGTCGATAAATCTTATTATAGAGAAATACGATTTGTAAAGAATTAATTGTTCGTTTTTAATCCGCCATTTTTTTATTATTTCAAACGCAACATTTGTAGTGGGAAACACTTCTTATTGTCCCCTTCTACAAATAACATTTTACATAATAAAAATTATGACGGATTATAAATAAATCCATTAATTCTCTAGTAGCTGCTTTGTTTACGTTTCAGATATGAAACGGAGCAGATAGGTGTTTTGAATAAAATATACCGTGAGAAGAGGGTTTGCTTCATTTAAAAATGGAAAATAGAAACTTGTTTCATGTGCCGCAGAGAATTAAAGTACACGAGTTCGGTCTCTGCCGGCGAACGAATTCTTCTTTAATTAGATTTCTAGAATTCTAAGAGCAAGAAATTTAATACACACTGTATAAATAAAAATGGGGCGTCTATTTCAAATACGAAGTAAACAATATAATAACGTTTGAAGCACACTATTTACGTTATTCGGACTATTGTCCTCATCTTTGTCGCTATATCTATTACAACGTTTCTGCCATTGTACGCTCCGGCCTTCTTCAGGTGGTTGGAATGTCGAACTGAACCCTTTATTTCGCTCGCTGGGGTAGACTGTTCTAGTTCCACATGCCATGTTTAATGGGTGTCAATTATCAGTTATCTTCTGTTAATTCCCCCCTCCAAGTTCTCCACTGCCTTAACATATGGCACAGTGGATAAAGGCGTTGGTTAGATCCAGTGAGAGGAACCAAAGAGTGTGAGTTCAATACCCAGTAAATAAGAGATAACTGATAACTGATATCCACTAAACATGGCACGTGGAACTAGAACAGTCTACCCCAGTGAGCGAAATAAAGGGTTCAGTTCGACATTCCAACCACCTGAAGAAGGTCGGAGCCTACAATGGTTGAAAAGTTTTAATAAATATGGCGACAAAGATTGAGGACAATAGTCCGAATAATGTAAATAGTGTAAATAATACCTCATCTCAGAAATATAGACAGATACGTTGTAATAAATATGGCAACAAAGATGAGGACAATAGTCCGAATAATGCAAATATTGTACATAATACCTCATCTCAGAAATATAGACAGGTACTGAAGGGCCGAAACGTTGCAATAAATATGGCAACAAAGATGAGGACAATAGTCTTAATAATGCAAATAGTGTACATAATACCTCATCTCAGAAATATAGACAGATACTGAAGGGCCGAAACGTTGTAATACATATGACAACAAAGATGAGGACAATAGTCCGAATAATGTAAATAGTGTACACAATACCTCATCTCAGAAATATGGACAGATACTGAAAGGCCGAAACGTTGTAATAAATATGGCAACAAAGATGAGGACAATAGTCCGAATAATGTAAATAGTGTACATAATACCTCATCTCAGAAATATGGACAGATACTGAAAGGCCGAAACTTTGTAATAAATATGGCAACAAAGATGAGGACAATAGTCCGAATAATGTAAATAGTGTACATAATACCTCATCTCAGAAATATAGACAGATACTGAAGGGCCGAAACGTTGCAATAAATATGGCAACAAAGATGTGGACAATAGTCCGAATAATGCAAATAGTTTACATAATACCTCATCTCAGAAATATAGACAGATACTGAAGGGCCGAAACGTTGCAATAAATATGGCAACAAAGATGTGGACAATAGTCCGAATAATGCAAATAGTTTACATAATACCTCATCTCAGAAATATAGACAGATACTGAAAGGCCGATATGTTTATTTTTATTTCATTCCATTTTCTTTGCACGTGTATTGAGCACTTTTTAATACTACTCTTTCCTCGTCTAATTCAACTCTAACCAATAACTTTTTATAACTATTTATATATATCTCTGTGTGTGTGTGTGTGTGTGTGTGTGTGCACGCACGTACGTTTAAGGAGTTTATAAAGTCCGTGTTCAATTTTATAAAACCCTTGATCTTTGTGCGTGATTACTTTTTCTTTCTTTCTTTTCTTTGCGTTAAGGTTCACCCCGTACATGGAATTAGATAGAAGGTTACGTTAAGAGGGGAAGATAACGGCCAAATTCTAGACTCGAATAGGCTAATCTTAGGAGTCGGTTCCACAGAGCAGTGGTTTGCGAAAAGCTCTTCGAGTGGAACTTACTTCTCGCCAATGGAATATGAAGGGAATGTGGGTGGGGATTTGCTACAATGTGAGTGACATGGCGGGTCCTAGCCGTGAAGGTTAAACCTGGCGGAAAGTATGTGGAGACTCGTCATTGTCGTCGTCTTCTTCTCCCCTTCTTCTTCTTCTTCTTCTTCTTCATCTTCCACTTCTTCTTCTTCTTCTTCTTCTTCTTCTTCTTCTTCTTCTTCTTCACACCCTCCCCCCTCTACTTCTTATTCCCCTCATACTCCACATATTCTTCTATTTTACTCACTCCACCTCCTCCTCATTCTTTTTCACATTCTCCTCCTCCTCCACCTTGTTCTTCTTCTTTCTTCACACCCTCCCCCACTTCTGTCTTCTTCTTCGTCTTCTTCTTCGTCTTCTTCCCCTCTTCCTCCACTGTTTTCATCTTTCTTCTTAATTCTTCACCCTTCTCCTCCGTCTTCTTAATTCTTCTTCTTCTTCTCCACACCCTCCTGTCCGTCTTCATCTTTTTCCCTATCCTCCTCCTCCTCTTCTTTCTCCTACCCCTTCTTCTTCTTCTTCTTCTTCTTCTTCTTCTTCTTCTTCTTCTTTCTCCTACCCCTCCTCCTTCTTCTTCTTCTTCTTCTGCTTCTTTTTTTCTTCTTCTTCACCTCCTCCTCATTCTTCTTCTCACCCTCATCTTCCAACGTTTTCTTCTTCTTCTTTTCTTCTTTTTCTTCACCTCCTTATCCTTCTTCTTCACATCCCCTCCTCCGTCTTCTTCTTCCCTCCCTGTTCCACCGTTTTCTTCTTCTTAATTCTTCTTCTTCACCTCCTCTTCATCCTTCTACTTCTCCTCCCGCTACTCTTTCTTTAAGATAACTTGATACTTAAAATAAATGGATACTAAATAACCTTGAACGAAGTACAAGGGACTACAGTCTCCAACAATGCAAACTGTGTTTCACTCCCCCTCCCCGAGTCTTATCAATTTCTAAAGTGAGTCAAGTTTGTATTGTAGCCTTGTCTTTGATACAAAAATCTGCTCTTATTCTTTGATCGACAGCCAAACACCAAAGCAAATGATGAGATCACGTTGAGAGATATCAAAGAATCACTTTCAACGTTTATCCCAGAAACGAAAAATTCGTTTTGTTGTTATCAAACAACAACAACAACAACAACAATATGAATGCTTCCTAGTTTCTAATAGAGACGTACATTCTTAGAATAAAAGACATACTTTAAATATTTCGCCAAGCCTAACCATTCCGTTGTTTCAAACAAAATAACTTGTATATTGGGGATGACGAAATGAAAAAAAAAACTGTTGCATTTTTTATACTATTTCTTATAATAAGAGCCTCTCAAGGTAGAGGGTTTCAGATTAATTTTGTTGTAATTTCGTACAGGGAGGTGGTAAAAAGTTCATATTATAAGGATAGGTAGGATAGAATATGGTTATAGTTGGTACGACTGTAATAATTTTTTCCTAGAGAGTAACAGTTCTCGGGTAAGAAGATGTCTGACTGGAACTTCCTCTTCCCTAATGCAAGACGAAGACAATGTGTACGTGACATGATGACTGGTACTAGCTGTAAAGACCTTAATTGGTGGAACTAAGAATTGCAGCCCGACTCTATATTTGCCAGGGAAATATCGACAGATTAACGAGGGGCTAGCAATGTTTCATCTCTGGGGGAAGGGCTAGCAAGATGGTAAACAATTCGTCTACCACAACACCGGGGGTAAAGACGTTTGAACTCTGTCCAGATTGAACAGGGAAGACTGGGCGGCCCCAGCTCAGGTATATAATCTCTCGGCCTTAGAAAGGATTGCTTCAAATTAAATAATATTTTAATATTTTATTTTATTGATAGGATCATATGTTAATGGGCGCAGGAAAGGCGTGTCCGTGGTGGAGTGGCCGAGCGGTATAAGAGCGCTCTACAGAGGCATGGATTCGAATCCCACCTCGGCCAATCATATTTCCTATCGCAGCTTTTGTCATGGATAAAAAAAATATAAAAGTTAATAGCGGGTGCGAAAATATTACCTGTAAATGGTAGAGTGGCCGAGCCGTCTACGTTGCGTGTTCTGGACATTAATCAATGAGGGCGCGTGCGTACGTATCCCACCTCTGCCAAATTTGCACATTATTGCAATATTTTCACTTGAGTAAAACTTATACAAGGAAATAAATGAAAGAAATTGCTGTGAGCATGCCAGAAAGAGTGCCCGAGTGGTCTAAGGCGCTAGTTTACGGCACTAGTCTCTACGGATGCGTGGTTTCGCGTCCCGCCGCTGATAATCGTATATCCTAACGCAATTTTTGTCAGGAATAAAAAAAAAAAAACATAAAAGGTATTATAGCAAAATACAGTAAACCCCGGTTATAATTCTTTAAGTAAAAAATTATTAATATGAGTTTTTATCAAAAGTGCATTAATTCCTGAGTATTCCATAAATTTACGCCCGGAATCATAGAACATATCATTTGTTAACAGAACTACCGCCTTTACTATATGGGATATTAAAAAAAAAGAAGCGATGGAAAAAAGCAGTCAAAAGCAGAATGAGGTCGGCCATATTGTGCATTTACACAGCGCCAAAAATAGAACGCAAAAATGCAGCACGAAAATTGGTGCCAAAAATAAAACACCAAGAATGGAACGCACAATTGGTTCTTGAGGATACATGACCCAGTGGATAAAGGCGTTATTAGATCCAGTGTCTAGATCCAAAGAGTTGTGGGTTCGATGCCAGGCTACAGAACCGATGAACCAAAACACTTGGAGAGTTGAGTTAAAGAGAAATAACTGAGACATCCGGAAGAGGCATGGCACGTGGAACTAGAACAAACTTCACCGGTGGACGAAATAAACGGTTCGGTTCAAAATCCCAAACACCTGAAGAAGGCCGGAGTGTATCACGGCCGAAACGGTGTGAATATGGCAATGAAGATGAGGATAACAGTTCGAATAATGCAACTAGAAATACATTTTATTTACAAAAGCAAAAGGTAGAAGCAAGTATAAATCCTGACTAATGACGACACTGTTGCTGATGTTATATCTATCAATCAGCTCATCAAGCTGACCTTCCAAGTCAAAGTAAAACAGTTTGTTTTCATAACTTTACACCAATAGAGAAAAATAGAATTTCAAAGCTTGCCTGTTTTCACTATTTACATTATTCGGACTATTGTCCTCATCTTTGTCGCCATATTTATCACAACGTTTCGGCCGTTGTACGCTCCGGCCTTCTTCAGGTGGTTGGAATATCGAACTGAACCCTTAATTTCGCTCACTGGTGTAGACAGTTTTAGTTCCACGTGCCATGTTTAATGGATGTCAGTTATAAGTTATCCCTTGTTAATTTCCCTCTGAAAGTTCTCCACTGCCTTAACTGGGTATTGAACTCACACTCTTTGGGTCCTGTCACTGGATCTAACTAACGCCTTTATCCACTGTGACATGTGTCGCCTGTTTTCATTGGGCCAACTCCAGACTTATTTAAAAAAAAAAAAATTCTCATGCCTACTTGACAATCACTTGTTTCGGTTCGAAATTCCAATCACCTGAAGAAGTCCGAATCGTACAACGGAACGTTGTGAAGATTGTAATGAAGATGAAGATATCAGTCCAAATAATGTAAATAGTACAAGTAATCATAATACCTCATCTCAGAGATATAGACAAATATATAGAGAGACATAGACATAAAGGCCGGAGCGTACAACGTCCGAAACGTTTTGAATATGGCAATGAAGATGAGGATAACAGTCTGAATAATGTAAATGCTTTTTACTTATTATAATTCAGGCATTAGTAATACTAATGATAACATCAACCTTTTCTTTAAATGGAATCATTCGAAGAGCCATTGCCACTGTTGGATGAAATTTATAAAATCTATCTATTAAAAGCTTTTTTCAGGAAAATAGATGTCTCAAGTTTAATCAGCTTTTTTCGATACTGACTGAGGTTTCTTTACTAACTTATTGTTTCAAACTGTGTGGAATGGCGACATCTTTATTATGTCATTATTTTCTCCTCGAATTACATGTGCTATCCATTTTAGTTGTTGCTGCTGTTGAAAGTCTTCAAGTGATGTGGTTTCTCTTATTTGCTAGAGTTTTTTTTTTTTTTTTTTTCTGTAGCTCCAGTCCATGAGATTCAAACTCACGCCACCCGTTTTACGGTATAGCTGATTTCCGGACCGTGCTGAATTATCCGTTTTATAGGACCACCAGAATGTACATAATGAAACATTCAATAACAGATCTCTGACCCCCTAATTACACCTTCCTCGAAGCTCTACCGTCACAAAAACTGTTAGCAACTTTAATTCAGTTATTATTGAATGTAAAACCATCTCCTGTCACCCAGTCTGGCAATTACCTGAAATTCGAATTAATCTTTCCGAATTAAAAGAGGTACATGCTCCTCATATGCCGGATAATTAATTTTATTAAGAGAAGAAAACAAACATCTAGTGCGTCTTGTTGGTTTTCTAAGCGTAAGTTAGATGTGGAACAAGGCCAAAAGTATGAGCACCCAGTGAGGATCGAACACACGATTCACTTGTGATTCGTCTGGTGTGACAAGCTTACTAACCATTACACCAAGCCAAAGTGGCAAGCGTTTTTCTAAGCGAAGCTTAGATGTGGCACAAGGCCGAAAATATGGAGTACCTAGTGTCATCTAATTGTGACGTCCCTAAACACAGCCTTCGTTCGCTCCTCGCTGCTTCGTTCGGGTGTCGCCGCTCCAAACGTGACGTCCGCCTGTCGCGTCAGTCGTGTTGTCTCGTCCTGTGACGACCAACTGGCTTGGTATCGGTCGTTGCACCCAAATGTGACGTTCTAACCTTTTGGTGATTCGGATGGGAATCTGGTTAGATTCGATATCAGCCTCGTCGTTCCCAACTCACTTCCAACGTCTGGTTACCAAAGTAACTGCGTTGATCTCCAGTCTGCCTACCCACGTTGTGAATTGATCTTAGGCAGACGAAATCAATCAGTAGTTGGGGCCGTAATGCAAATCGAGTTCAACGAGGGTGACACCGCACAAATATGCATAAAAGAAAATAAAATGATAACTCAAAAGTTCAAGGTATCAAAGAAAAAAAAAGATAACAAAACTTTATGTCTAGTTGCTGGATACATAGGACTGCGTCTATCCCCCGACCCGCTATATGGATTGTGACACGTTGTTCCTTTGTTAGGCGAGTTTTATCACTTTAAGTTGTCTGTTCTTCAAGAAATTGGTTCTTGGTGTGTCTTCAGGCGAAAGTCGAAAAAACTTATTTTGGTGGTCTGGATCAAAGTCGCTCTTCAAAATAATTGTTCTTGGATTGAAGATGAGTTCGGAAGCTGCGCGAATCTTAGTCAGCTGCGAGGCCTGCTTCAACTGAGCACTCTCCTCAACTCAACTCAACTCAACTCAACTCTACTGAACTCTCTGAACTGTCTCTGGAACTCTCTGATTTTCGCTCGCTGCGACTTTGCTTATATGGACGCTGACCAAAACCGGGGTGGATTTGTCGGCGTCGAAGGTTCCTCGATAATTCTAAATACATATCCACTTCTTTTATTTTTGGTTAGGAATTTTCCACTTCTTTCCATTTTTGGGAGTCTTCTCTTACTCCCACCTTCTCACCATACTTCAGAGGGGCGTCAACTGTCCTCCCCACTTCTTCGTAGCAACCTCTCATACCCATCCTCTAGGTGGGCGGCGACAGCTTCCCTCCTTGCGTCACGTGATCACCACATGGCCAATGATGTCCAGCCAGGAGTGTGCGGTCCAGCGGGCTTTGTTTCAGGAAAAAAAATATATATCTTGCTCAAAAAAAATTATCTTTTTCTCTTCCTTTTCTTTCCTTATTCGCAGCTCTCATTTTCTCTGGCCGCCAACAGAACAATGCGACCCGTGGTGTCATAACCCTTGTTCTCATCTGGGCTTCGTCAGTCAGATTTTCGCTAATTATCAGAATGGGTGGTCAGCAAAACATCGTCCTCTCGAAAAAAAAACAGTTCCATTGTTCTAGTCATACTTTGGCGCAAATTTCTGTTATCACAGCCAAAGATGTCTTGTAAAAAAAAAACGGTCAGCCGTAACTTCGTGTGCGGACGACACAGTAAATTTTTCTTATCTATCCAAAGCCCTGGTTTTCACCTGTTCTTTGTCAATTATCAAAATAACATTTTCAATTGGAGTTTTCTTGGCTAGTCGGTCCGTGGTTTGCTAATTAGATGTTTTGCCCGTATTGAGCGGCTGTTATCTATCCCCGATAACACAAGTTCGTCGCCAGAACATAGTCGATTCCCTTATCCACTTAGAATTTTTCTGCCATGGTAATGACACTTTTCGCCATTTGCTACTTATCAAAATAACATTGTCAATTGTCTCTGGTCGTGGGTGTTTTTTTTATCATCCACGCTTGGGTCTCGCCTCTCTTTTCCTTTCTTTCCTTTCTCTTTTTCCTTTCTTTTCTTTTTGCCCTGGTAAATGGTGCCACATAGTGTAGTATAAGTAATATGAACGTTCACTAAACACTACTGGTTGTCAATCAACCTTTGTGGATATGCATAGACAGAAGAAAAACTATCTGACGAGCTTGTGTGAATGGAGAGTAGAACGGAAGGCGTAGGAAAAGGGCAAACGTTGCTGAGAGTTGCAGAGAGCCGAGCGCATGAAAGGGCTGACCCGTAAAGATACCTCATCGCCACCGGGTAGAGATTCGCGGTTCACGGGAAATCACTAGTTGCCTGCGGCATGTGAACTGATGGTTGACAGAGCTGCAGACACGTGGAGGAAACGAATGGTAGAAAGATATCTAAGCGCGATCCACCGAAAGGAAAAAGACAAAAAGTCTCTCTCACATTAATACAAGAAGATCCACGTTCGGAGAAATCCCCCAAATCTATACAGTGAAAGAGAGTAGGAGTAAGAGAGAAAGTAAGAGTAAGTACAATAGAGAGAGTGTGAAAGAGAGTGAGAGAGAGAGAGAGTAAAACAGTGACAATAAGAGAGAGTGAAAGAGAGTAAGAGTAAGAGACAGTGAAAAAGAGCTAGTACAAGCGAGAGAGAGAGAGTGAAAGAGAATGAAAGTAAGAGAAAGTGAAAGCGTGAGAATAAGAGAGAGAGATTTAGATAGAGTAAGTGCAAGATTGTGAGAGTAAGAGAAAGAGAGAGATAGTAAGAGAATGAAAGACAGAGTGAAAGAGAATTTAAGAGAGAGAGAGAGAGAGTAAAAGTGAAAGATATTGTGAGTAATAGAGAGAAAGAAAAGCGATTGTGAGTAAGAGAGAAGGAAATAAGCGATAGAGAGAGAGAGAGAAAGAGTGTCAGAGCGGCAGACTGAAAAAAAAGATTGAAAGTAAGAGAAAGATCGTGAAAGTGTGAGTAAAAGAGGGTGAGAGTAAGAAGAGGGGGAATGTAAAAGAGAGAGAGAGAAAGAGAGTGAGAGTAAGCGAAAGAGTGAGAGCAAGTGTAAGAGAGGGAAAGAGAGAGACAGTGAAAGAGAGTGACTGCAAAAGGAAATGTGACTAATAGAAAGAGAGTGAGAGTAAAAAAGAGAGAGAGTGAAAGAAAGTTAAAGTAAAAGGGAGAGTGTGAAAGAGGAAGAGAGAGAGAGAAACGGGGGTGGGGCCATGATGTTTACTTTAGCGTGCTTATCCCACAAACAGCCGAATCTCGTCGTGTCCAGTGATAGGCGATTGACGCCAGAAGTCCACCGCCGTATTAGGTAAACTCGATTCTCACCGTCAATTCTGAAGATAAACGGACTTAATTAAAGCATGAAAAAAAAAGAATGAAAAAGAAAAGAAAAAAGAAAAGAAAAGAAAAAGAAAATAAAGAAAAAGAAAAGAAAGAAAAAAGAAAAGAAAAAAGAAAAGAAAGAAGAAAAAAAATAGAAAAGAAAAAAGAAAAAAGAAAAAGAAAAGAAAGAAGAAAGAAAAAGGAAAGAAAGAAGAAAGAAAATAGAAAAGAAAAAGGAAAGAAAGAAGAAAGAAAATAGAAAAGAAAAAAGAAAGAAAAAAGAAAAGAAAAGAAAGAAAAGAAAGAAGAAAGAAAAAGAAAAGAAAGAAAAAGAAAGAAGAAAGAAAAAGGAAAGAAAGAAAAAAGAAAAGAAAGAAGAAAGAAAAAGGAAAGAAAGAAAAAGAAAAGAAAGAAAAAAGAAAGAAAGAAAGAAAGAAAGAAAGAAAGAAAAGAAAGAAGAAAGAAAAGAAAGAAGAAAGAAAAAAGAAAAGAAAAGAAAGAAAAAAGAAGTGGTAATGCATAATTTGTTAGGGTAGAAGAAGCACCCAGTCATAATTTCGGGATGTGGGTAGAAAAACATGTAAAATAGAAAATGAGCAATATTTTCTTTTAAATTAGGTAAAACTTGTTGAAAGTATAAAATATAATCAGCGTTAAAAATAAAATTGTCGGGCCGAGTTCAATTTCCGTCTGGGTCTGCTATGAATACTTCCGACTTCTTTCACATTTCTTATCTCCCTTTCCCGCTTTCCTGTCAATTACAATCATCAAAAAAAAAAATATATATATATATATATATATATATATATTGCAACATCAAACATCATTTTCTGTTTCCTTGAAAACCGGGCTTTTATTGTCCTTTCTCCTCAATAACGTTAAATCGATTTTTCCCCCTCCTTGCGTTTTAATGGCTTTTTTGCCTTACTTGAGGTAAAATAATTCGAAAAGTATAAATCTAGTTCTTCTCCTCCTCCCCCAGGTATAATAGCCAAGATTTATTGTATATAAAATACAATTGTGGCACAAGGCCAAAAATGGGGGAGTGCTGAGGCTGGTCATCACTTACTATCTTATACTACGGTAATCAAATTCACGATCCATTCACTTATTACAATTTGTACAGCCATCAAAAGAACGTATCGATCATCCTTCAATCGTCCATATACCACCATACCGTTGGAACCTCGGCGTGGTGTAATGGTTATAAAACTTGTCTTGCTAGATCATTTACGAATAGTGAGTTAGATCCTCACTAGGTGCCTCATACTTTCGGCCTTGTGCCACATCTAAGCTACGCTTGGAAAATTGCTTTACCACAATATTGCATACGCTCAAGGGACTTACAAAAAAAAACATGATTAACGGTTATAAAATTCAAGATATAAAAATCTGTCAATGAGAGGGGGGGGGGAATGAACCCCAAAACAAACTAAAATATCAAAACCAGTACACAAAATAAAAGGATAACTGATGCTAGTTAGACAAGTAAAAAACTCAAAAGAATTAAGCCACTGTATTCTGTCATTAGACAAAATCAAGAAGCTCTCTTGATAAGGGAGAAATATAATAGTCAATAGCAAAGTAGACTGGATTCTCTATCCTTGAATGGAAGCCAGTCTAGGAGAAGCACAATTCTAAATTCAAAGCCAACGGGAATAAGAAACGTCGCCACTTTCTGTGACGAGCAAGGACCGTCTACGTGCTGAAGAGACATGGCATCTAAAAACGCTTTAAATAAAGCCAGTATTACTCGAATTTAATTAATAGGCCTTAATAAAAATAAGTCCTTTAATTTATTATAACATTTTCATCATCTAAACTTGTCAGCGAAAGATTTATTGAAAGTTAAAATAATTTCATAAAATAGAATGAGGATTTCATTCATATCCAGTAATTACATAATAGTTTAACAAACTAATGTAATCACAAAAATTTAGTTTATTGAAATATTATACATTTAATTATAATAAATTAAATATGTTTTATGTTAATGTTCGTATAAGTTCGTTGTTCCTGGATAATAATAGGACAAAGAAAACACTGAAGCAAAACATTAGTGAAAACCTTGCGCAATCACGTGAATTAAAACTGGTATTTATTGCATAGAAAAAATACAATTATGGCACAAGGCCTAAAAAAGGGAGGGGTTAAGGCTGGTCCACACTGACTATCTTATACCTCAGCTAATCCGATTCACGACCCATTCACTCATTACAATTTGCCCATTCACCATAAAAATTCGTCTGTCACCAATCAATCCTCCAGACGCCATAATACTGCATCCTCTCAAAGAGGGATCTACAAAACGTACCACATGCCTTAAAAATTTAATGATAATAAATGATTATATATATAAAATTCTAAAGATGCAGAATGAAAGCGAGACGAACCCAATAACAAACTAAATATGAACACAAAGTAAAGTAAACATAACTGATGTTAGTAGGGCCCGTCGACCTTCTAAAAAGAGAGGCCTCTGTGAATTAAAAAGGGAATACTACAGTTACAATTCCTTTTATAGTCAATGGAAGAGTCCATGTTCAAAACTTTAGTGTGGCGAAGGTCGGACGACTTTCTGCAGAACAGTTTAATTAATTCAAATATATAAAATTAGAATATGATCTATTTGGAAGGCATTTGAATGTATCATGACGAATTCAATATCTATGCCGAAAAGGCTCCACCCACCACGAAATATCAAGGCAAGCGCTTTGAATTTTATTAAGGAATTAATATCTTCTTCGTTTTCTTTTATATGCCATTGCGTTTCAGCGATCATGGCACTTCACAATTTCTTCTCTTTTGCTGTTCTAAGTAACACTTCAACCTTTACATTCCTTCATTAAAAAGTCTTGTAAGTGTAAAATTCTCCTTTTCACATATTACCTTCCTTCTTTGTCCTTGTTCTGCTATCCATTCACCCAAACTCGTTAAGTAGGTTACTCACTGTTTCCCTCTGCTTGCCTTCTCTTTCTCCATGCCTTCAATATGTCCTGTGAGTGTTAAATTCTCCATGCCCTCTTTCTTGTTGCTCTAAGTAACTTTTTTCTTGATTTACCTTCCTTTACTTTTTTGTCCTTGTTCTGTTATCCATTCACTCAAACTCGTTAAGTAGGTTACCACTGTTTCCCTCTGCTTCTCTTTTGCCTTCAATATGTCCTGTGAGTGTTAAATTCTCCATGCTTTTCTTGATGCTCTAAGTAACTTTTGACCCTTTACCTTCCTTCTTTGTCCTTGTTCTGTTATCCATTCACTCAAACTCGTTAAGTAGGTTACTTCTCTTGCTGTTTCCTGTCTGCCCTTCTCTTGCCTTCCATTATGTCCTGTGAGTGTTAAATTCTCCATGCCCTCTTTCTTGATGCTCTAAGTAACTTTTGACCCTTTTACCTTCCTTCTTTGTCCTTGTTCTGCTATCCATTCACTCAAACTCGTTAAGTAGGTTACTCGCTGTTTCCTCTCAGCTTCTCTTGCCTTCAATATGTCCTGTTGAGTGTTAAATTCTCCATGCCCTCTTTCTTGATGCTCTAAGTAACTTTTGACCCTTTACCTTTCCTTCTTTGTCCTTGTTCTGCTATCCATTCACTCAAACACGTTAAGTAGGTTACTCGCTGTTTCCCTCTGCTTCTCTTGCCTTCAATATGTCCTGTGAGTGTTAAATTCTCCATGCCCTCTTTCTTGATGCTCTAAGTAACTTTTTGACCCTCCTTCCTTCTTTGTCCTTGTTCTGCTATCCATTCACTCAAACTCGTTAAGTAGGTTACTCGCTGTTTCCCTCTGCTTCTCTTCCCTTCAATATGTCCTGTGAGTGTTAAATTCTCCATGCCCTCTTTCTTGATGCTCTAAGTAACTTTTAACCCTTTACCTTCCTTCTTTGTCCTTGTTCTGCTATCCATTCACTCAAACTCGTTAAGTAGGTTACTCGCTGTTTCCCTCTGCTTCTCTTGCCTTCAATATGTCCTGTGAGTGTTAAATTCTCCATGCCCTCTTTCTTGATGCTCTAAGTAACTTTTTTGACCCTTTACCTTCCTTCTTTGTCCTTGTTCTGCTATCCATTCACTCAAACTCGTTAAGTAGGTTACTCGCTGTTTCCCTCTGCTTCTTTTGCCTTCAATATGTCCTGTGAGTGTTAAATTCTCCATGCCCTTTTTTCTTGATGCTCTAAGTAACTTTTGACCCCCACCTTCCTTCTTTGTCCTTGTTCTGCTATCCATTCACTCAAACTCGTTAAGGTTACTCGCTGTTTCCCTCTGCTTCTCTTGCCTTCAATATGTCCTGTGAGTGTTAAATTCTCCATGCCCTCTTTCTTGTTGCTCTAAGTAACTTTTGACCCTTTACCTTCCTTCTTTGTCCTTGTTCTGCTATCCATTCACTCAAACTCGTTAAGTAGGTTACTCACTGTTTCCCTCTGCTTCTCTTGCCTTCAATATGTCCTGTAGTGTTAAATTCTCCATTCCCTCTTTCTTGTTGCTCTAAGTAACTTTTTGACCCTTTACCTTCCTTCTTTGTCCTTGTTCTGCTATCCATTCACTCAAACTCGTTAAGTAGGTTACTCCTGTTTCCCTCTGCTTCTCTTGCCTTCAATATGTCCTGTGAGTGTTAAATTCTCCATTCCCTCTTTCTTGTTGCTCTAAGTCACTTTTGACCCTTTTACCTTCCTTCTTTGTCCTTGTTCTGCTATCCATTCACTCAAACTCGTTAAGTAGGTTACTCGCTGTTTCCCTCTGCTTCTCTTGCCTTCAATATGTCCTGTGAGTGTTAAATTCTCCATTCCTTCTTTCTTGTTGCTCTTAGTAACTTTTTGACCCTTTACCTTCCTTCTTTGTCCTTGTTCTGCTATCCATTCACTCAAACTCGTTAAGTAGGTTACTCTGCTGTTTCCCTCTGCTTCTCTTGCCTTCAATATGTCCTGTGAGTGTTAAATTCTCCATGCCTTCTTTCTTGATGCCTTAAGTAACTTTTTCAAACTCGTTAAGTACCTTTCCCTCTGCTTCTCTTGCCTTCAATATGTCTTGAGTGTTAAATTCTCTTTTTTTGACCCTTTTTCTTTTGTCCTTGTTCTGCTATCCATTCACTCAAACTCGTCAAGTAGGTTACTCGCTGTTTCCCTCTGCTTCTCTTGCCTTCAATATGTCCTGTGAGTGTTAAATTCTCCATGCCTTCTTTCTTGTTGCTCTAAGTAACTTTTGACCCTTTACCTTCCTTCTTTGTCCTTGTTCTGTTATCCATTCACTCAAACTCGTTAAGTAGGTTACTCGCTGTTTCCCTCTGCTTCTCTTGCCTTCAATATGTCCTGTGAGTGTTAAATTCTCCATTCCTTTTTCTTGTTGCTCTAAGTAACTTTTTGACCCTTTACCTTCCTTCTTTGTCCTTGTTCTGCTATCCATTCACTCAAACTCGTTAAGTAGGTTACTCACTGTTTCCCTCTGCTTCTTTGCCTTCAATATGTCCTGTGAGTGTTAAATTCTCCATGCCCTCTTTTCTTGTTGCTCTAAGTAACTTTTGACCCTTTACCTTCCTTCTTTGTCCTTGTTCTGCTATCCATTCACTCAA